CGATGGTGTTACCGTCGTTGTTGCTAACCACAACGCATAAAAACAGGCGCTTGTCCGTCCATAGTGTGGTTATATTAAATATAAGAGAAAAAATATTACCGTAAACAGTTTATTTTGCGACACCACGAAACAAACGATAGCGTAAAATGAAACGATAGACGTTTTTATATTGTCATCCGATATATATCGTTATATGGAACAGCCCTAGTTTCTTATGTATTATATATATTTATTTAAATAGGCTGCTTGCAGAGTGATAAGTTGTATATATTTTAATTTGAAGATTATACTAGATGTAGTCATTTTTACAAATTCTGTTTTACCTGTGTCTCTTTCATTAAGGTTTTTTTAAACACATCTGTGACATTGTAAATTTTCACGAGTGGTCAGACACATGCGCCACATTGTTATGCCCTTAAACATTGCATCCGCAGGATTATAAAACATTATGATCAAGTTACATGCTCCACTTAATCTGATAAGTAATAATATTGTTGACCATTTAGACCAAATATATTTTGAAATATTTTGTATTTAATATTTCATGTTTTAAATGTAAGATGTATGTCCCGACTTTTTGCTTCAGTTATTCCTTTCTTATCTTGCAGTTACCTGGAAAAGTTTACAGACTTCCTGCGTCTGTTTGTCAGTGTTCACTTGAGGCGAATTGAGTCAAGTCCTCAGTTTCCTATTGTAGAGTTTCTTGCCCTGCTTTTTAAGTACACTTTCAACCAGGTAATGATTACCTTTTCCACGTTCATGCAATGCAGCTGAAGATTCTATGTAAACTTCCTTCTCATGCACATTTTTTATTTTTTTTATTTTAGCCCACCCATGAAGGCTATTTTGCCTGTTTGGACATTTGGAGTGTGTTTTTGGATTTTCTAACAACGAAAATCAAAAGCAGGCTACCAGACAGAGAAAGTGTCCTGAATAGGTGAGTCGCTCAAGAGATATTTACAGAAACACTCAAAGAACTAAAGTTGATTTAATGATTTCCTATTTTGTCATTCATTGTTGAGTGTGAAATTGCTGTTGTGTAATGTATTCATGTGCCAACTGGGCAGGTACAAAGATGCCTTAGGTCTTCTGTTAAGGGAAGTTCTGAATCGCATACAGTTCAGATGCAATCAAGCCCAGTTAGAAGAGCTGGACGACGAGACTCTGGATGATGATGTAAGAACATTTAATAATGTAATAATATTACAAATATCAACTGCAATGTTTCATATTATCTGTCTATCTTGTAGCCACATGGAGCATTAAATTTGCAATACTTTAAGCATAAGTACAGACTAAAGAAATGGCTTCATCTTCAGTGTCTGACTACTCTGCTTCATTTTGTAACCATAGCAACAGACTGAGTGGCAAAGGTACCTGCGTCAGAGTCTGGAGGTGGTTGCCAAGGTGATGGAGCTGCTCCCATCCCATGCATTCTCTACTTTGGTAAGAAATCACTGTTGGTGTCACCTTTTGTTTTTTGTAAGGCAGTTTAGAGACGTTTTAAATAGACCAGATCAGAGCTTTATTATTTTTAGATTTAGAAAATCTAGTAGCAGAAATGCTCATAACCTCATGATGACCCATTTATCAGCACAGTGTATTTTCCTTAAACAGTGAAATCACTTGACAATGATGGCAAGAAGTATCTTCTGTTCTGCATTGTAAATTTTGTTGTAAAGGAGTACATTAATAGGTTAAACCGTCATCAAATACACACCAAGGTGTCTTAAGCCTCATTAGTATCTGCTCTGATCGACTCGCCATGGTTTTTAGGGTTTTCCATTAGGTCATAATGTAGTAGTGTAATAGTGTCATAATGTCATAATAGTACCTAAAATGTGACGTTGTCAGACTGCATGCCACCGATTGGCTGGTAGTAGCATCACTCGATGAGTCATGAGAATATCTCATTCACGAAAACCAATATCACCATCATTTCAAAGAAGATAATTGTGCCTTTATTATACTTGTTTATAACTCTTTTTATAAAACTGAATTAAATTTTATTTTGAACTTGCTTCCTTAAAATTGAGTAGGTCTTTTAGTAATGATTTAAGTTGCTTGTGAGTTCTGAGGGTATAATAATGTGGGGGTGTTAGTACATGTAACAACCTCCTCCTTATTCTTCTTTTTGCTCTAAAGTTTCCAGTTCTTCAAGAAAATTTGGACGTATACCTTGGCTTACAGCAGTTTATTGTGACTACTGGCACAAGTAAGCACAATTTATTGATGGGGGAAAAATGCTTTTATGTCGACTCAATAATGACATCACTTCTGTAGATTAAAATATTAGATCGATCCTGTAATATTTGTTTTTTTGTCTTTTTGTTGTTTTTATCTAGGTCGACGGCTAAATATCACTGCTGAGAACGACTGTCGTCGACTTCACTGTTCTCTCAGGGACCTCAGCTCCCTACTTCAGGCTGTTGGACGCTTGGCTGAGTATTTCATTGGGGACGTTTTTGCTGCACGTTTCAGTGACGCCCTGGCTGTGGTAGAGAGGTAAGCGTGTATTACAAATCAAGGTCAACATAGCCAGACTTTGTTTGCTTTAGTTGGCTCAACAAAACCTAAAACTCCAGTTTGAGTTAATGATTATCAACTTTCTCTGTTAATCTTGGCTTTCTGCTTCAGATTCTGTGCACGCTCAGATTAAAAAGGGGGATTTTACACATCATATTACAGTCCTTCAGCAAAAAAAAAAGTTCCCTGTGAGTTCTGCTTACTCCAATCAGAGATGTTATCAATCAAGATGATTAAAAATGTATAAAGAACATAAATAATATAACAGTACAATGAATCAGTGTTGCAAATAAGACAATAGATCCACCTTAGACTGGATCCATTTAAATATTAAAGGTCACTGTCAAATATAAAGAAAGCTTTAATGTGTTATAGCTTAACTAGCAAAAGTTCATATGTAGCCTCCTAACTTTAATCTTTCTTCATAGCAAACCCCTCTGAATCCTATGTTTGTATTTAAAAATGTACGCTGTTAGTGTTGCAGACTTTTGTCGCCAGCATTACAAAATCTTATCTTGACATTGCCTTCTCTTTTTTGTGTGTGTGATTTATTTAAGTTGTTCTTTGGTTGTATGAATTCTGAGTTCTTCATATTTTAACTGATGGTTTTAAGGAATGAGTAAAATATCAAAAAGGAACATTTGGCTCTTTTTTTTAAGATTGGTTGAAGTGACTTGTTATGGCTCCCAGACCAGCCTCTATGACCTGGAGACTGCTGTGCCTTCTGTGCTCAAACCAGACCTCATTGATGTGTGAGTATCATGTTTAAAGGAACATTGAACAGTAAAATTTTATATGTGATCCAACCATTAGAAATGAAAGACTCATGGAGTCAAAGACAGTTTCATGCAAAAGAGAATAGGGAGCTGAGCATGTGAATAGCTATAGGGTTTGTGTGAAATGTTGTGGACACTGAACAGCTGCCCTTGCTGCACAGTTGCCTTGCATTCAGAGCAACCTCATGTTTTACATAATAAAATGACAGAATATTTTTAGTCTGGCTTCAGTGTTTTATGTTCAGAAGATATGAGTTTATGAGTTTTTGTGTGCCAAATACAATTCATGCTACCACGAACATGGCTTTAGACATGTCAAAGTTACACAAATTAGCAAATTAGGTAAGCAGTATAAGTAAGAAATGTGTTTTAACTCTGTGTGCGTGTGTGGTTTCATTTGTTACAGACATGCACAGGCTCTTGCTGCTTTGCAAGCTTATTCTCACTGGCTCGCACAGTTTTACAGTGAAGTCCACAGTCAAAACCAGAGCCAGTTCATCAACCTCATTAAGTCTGCCGTCGACGCCAGTAGCCCGCTCATCACAGCCAAGGTAGCTTCAATGTCAAGCATATTACAAATCCAGCCTTTACTAATCAACTATTTATATTTAGAAATTTTTTTTAGAAATTATTTGTGCAGAATCTTTGACTTAAGTAAACCTGTGTTTATAAGAAACTGCATGTCGCAGACACAGTAAGTTTCATGTTGCAATAGTGGTTTAAAAATTAAGGAAGAAGTATAATTTAGAAACTGTTAACCAAAGCTTTCAGCATATTCATGGTTTTTATATATGTCTTTAAGTTGATCTGAAACATCTGATCCATACAGTTTATCTTGCCCTAGCTTGTATTTATAACAAAATGTTGCAAATTTAAAGAGCTGTAAAATATATTTTTCCACTTCTAGTCGGTTTAAAAATTTTTTACACTTAAATCTTCAGGTACCAGAAAAGTTGATGCTGTCAGCGTGCCATCTGATGGTCTCCATAACCTCTACAGTGAGGCCTGTGTTCTTGGTCACTTTGCCAGCTGTTCAAAACATCTTCAACCTGATTACTACACAAAATCAGACACGCAGACTTCCCCAGGAGGTAAATAGTGTACTTTTATTTTCCATCAATCATTATATAGTATCATGTTTCAATCACAGCTTAACAATGTGAATATGTACATTTGTTTAAAATGTTGTCGCCAATTTAAATTTTCTGTGTGACCTTGAACATGAAGTGAATGAAGTAATCTTCTCGTACAGGCTCACATGTTGGTGTGTAGGGCTTTATCCAATATGCTGCTGCTCCCTTGGCCAAATTTACCAGAGAGTGAACAACAGTGGCAAACACGCTCAAGCAACCACGGCAGCCTGCTGGCTGCACTCACTCGAGAATATCGTATCTTAAGAGGCACAGTGAACATTACTTCACGGCAGCCTGGCCTGAATGACAGTCAGTATTTACTTAGGTTTCGTAACTCCTTATCTCTTTTAATTTTATTATGCTGAGTCACTTTTTGTCCACCTAATTACGTTTTCTCTCATGTAGTCAAAGCAGTCATACAGCAGACTCTGCCTGTGCTCAGAGACATAGTGGACAGTGTCTCCAGTGAATCCACCAAGTCACGTCAGATCTGTTATCAGAGTCTTCAGGAGTCTGTCCAAGTGTCCCTCACCCATTTTCCAGTGTTTATTCAGCAGCCAGGTCAGTTTAATATCTGTGGTTTGGGTCATTCTCAGTCTTAATGCCACAGCACATTCACAAGTTTTTGAACTTACTTTTTCCTTCCAAACACCTTTTAATCAGCATATGGTGCTAAGATGCAGTATTTCCTTCTTTTTGTTTTTACAGATTAATTTGTATTCTACTGCTGACTGACACTAATTTTCTATAAAATATGTTCATTTCACCACATGATAGCCAACAGCCAGTACTGAGATTTAAAAACACAGTCCAAATCAAAAATGGACTTTAATTAAGCTTGTGGCTTTTTTTTTCATGGTTTTGATTGCCTTTTTAAATTTAAATACTTAATCTAAAATATTTATGATGATTTCAAACATAATTACAAAATTAAGAAATCTTTTATACATTCACTCAGGCTATTATCTCAATCCAGCCCATCTTTAATGGTCCACTTTTGCCTCTTTTCTGCTGGCACCTACTCGACTCTACCCGTTTTCCATTACAATTTAGTATCACATCAGTGTGGGTGGGATCATAGCAACATGGCCCAGAAGTCCCATCAATGTGACACAAATGCAACACAACAATGGATGACATCAAGGCGATGGTATACCTGCTGCTAAAGCTGGGCAAACACTGCAATTTTTTTTTCAGTCGCATTATTCAGCTTCTGCTCAAACTGCACGATTGACTCGCAGGGGTTAGAAGTTCGTAGGTCACGATGCAGGGTCTCACACTATACGGCCCGATGCTCTGATGCGACCAGAGTGCTCACACTGTGCATCCATAAAAATGAAGGTTATAACAGAAATTCTGTCGCTCGCTCTCCCTCTCTGTCTTTCACTCACACAGACACGCACACCACCACCATCAACTTTGCTAAATTGCTAATGAAAAACATTGATCAGGCAGCTGTGATTGAGCAGCAGTGTAAATCCAACTATTTTCACGGTTGTTGTGGTTTTGATAATTTTGTGAGGCCACATCGAAAAGGCTCGGATGAGCTTTCCATAGTTCTACAAGTTGTGCCTCCAGTTCACACGCTGCACTGCCGTGCTGCGCTGTCTTTTTCACTGACATTTGTGTTTGCGCGTGCGCAGTGTGAGAAGCTGCGGTGACACCCTCACGACCAAGCGATTGATGATAGGGAGCTGGTTGTGAGGTGTTAATCACTTCTCGTTACCCCACGTATACTACACAATGCACAACGCACGATGAAGGCCAAAATCAGGCCGTTCGCCAAAACGGTCGCACGACTCAAAAATCGGCTCAAAATGGGCCAAAAATCGCACAGTGTAAGTCCAGCATAAGGAGTCACTCTCGTGACTCGGCAACCTCGCTCCCTGGCCAGTCAGTGACATGCAGGCTGTTGACGTCACATTTTCTAATCAAGTCAAAACCCTTAGCACCTCGGCTGAGTAAGTACTGAAAAAGTGCCAGGCACCTACCATCTAATGGAAAACCCTAAAAACTGAGTCGAGCTGAGTAGGCACTAGTGGGGAAAAAAGGCTTTGGTGGCCATAGCACAGACTTTTGTTGTCACTGATCTAGAATTTCAGCTTGATTCACTCACATATATTTAAAGTCCACAGTGAAGCTGATTACTATGAATACTGCAGAAGATGTTTTATCTAACTTTAACCACTGCATGCAAGATAATTTCATGTAGCACCATACCAGATCCACATGTTAGGTAATCGCTTCAGTTTTGTTAATTGTCACTTCTCTTTTGTAGATGTGACAGATGAGATGTTGGCCTTCTTCTTGACGTTGTTCCAGGCGTTACGAGTCCAGATGGGTGTTGCTTTCACAGGACAGATCATCCACACGTTTCTTAGCATGTTCACCAGGTTAAAAAAAGCTTCTAGCTCAAGACGTCATGTTAAACAATAGCCACCTGTTGCAGTCACATTTATCTTACGTCATCTTAACACTGAGTAACTTCTGTTGTTTTCATTTGCTCTAGGGAGCAGCTGGCAGCCAGTATTTTGCATGAGGGCAGTGCAGGGTGTAGGGTGGTGCAGAAGTTCCTGAAAATCCTACAGGTGGTGGTGCAAGAGCCCGGTCAAGCTTTTAAGCCCTTCCTACCCAGCATCCTTTCTTTGTGCATGGAGCAGGTCTACCCAGTTGTGGCAGAGGTCAGTTGCATCGCTGTTTTGTTTGACTTGTGGGTATGCTCTAAAATGTCATCTGTGATGTCACTTCTTTTTTAAGAAAGTACACATACTATACCTTACTAAAATATGAATGGATGAATCTCTGGTTTGTTTGACAGCGATCCTCTCCAGACATCAAGGCCGAGATGTTTGAGTTACTATACCAAATACTTCACCAAAACTGGAGGTACTTCTTTAAAACTTCAGTCTTAACAAGTGTCCAAAGAGGAGATTCAGAAGACACAATGGAAAATGAGGCCCAGTTCACAGCTGCCATGCAGGTGCGTTCATGCATATAGAACAGCCTTAATACTTGTAATGTGACGTTTAAAGAACTTATAATTGTAATGTCAACTGTAGGAGAGGTGATTGTTGATATTGTTGAATCTCGTCCCACTAAATTTCCTGACGTGTGCTGAAATTTTCCAGGCTTTTGGACAGTCTTTCCTGCAGCCTGATATCCACATTTTCAAGCAGAATCTGTGCTATCTGGAGTCTCTCAACAGCAAGCACAAGTTATACCACAGAGTGAGTTCAACTTTGTCAGGATCTTTGATTTTTAGGAGCAAGGTCATAAAAAAAACCGTTCTCTTAGTAGTCTGCCACAGTCTCAGGGCTTTAATGGTGCACGGATTTCACTTTTTGTGTATCTGCAAGTGCAGCATATTCATAATAATGTTAAACTAACTGTTAGAGCCATCAGTGTAAGTTCAGCTTTAGAATTGAAACTAGTGGTCTAAATACAATTTATTGGACTTGATACTGGACAGTAATTATTGCAGCTAGTCAAAAGATCTATACAGTGGATACAAAAACATTGCAGATTCTACCTTCGGCCAAATAAGAGATTATACGTATGAAATGTGGCTCCTTATTTAACATGTAACATCCTGTTAATTCCAAAAGGTGGAACTAGTGCTCTGTTTTTGTTTCTGTTTTAGATGTTAATAGTATGACAGTAATTTTTTGGATCACAGTTTCTAATTTACAGAAATCTTAAGCCAAACCAATTGGAATTCCTTCTAACTAGTTAGTGTGACTCTAATAATAAGTAGGTTTAAATTAATTTAAATAATTTAATTTATTTATTTTGATTATCTGTAATTAAAGCAGCAGTGAATGGGTCCCAACATAACAATTCTTGCACAGTGCAACCAAGGCAGCACACATTTCCCTTGTCCACATGTGTGAATTCTATAACACATGTACTAACGTTACTCTTATTTTCTTTTCTTTTTTTTTTTTTTGTGTGTGTGTTTGTGGGTCCTTCAGAAGCTTTTCCGGACCTCAATGCTCTTCCACTTCATCAATGTGCTGCTGCAAGTCCTTCTCCACAAAAGTCACGACCTTCTTCAGGAGGAAATCACCCTCGCCATTTACAACATGGCCTCTGTTGACTTCGATGCCTTTTATTCGGCTTTCATGCCAGAATTCCTCAATGGCTGCCACGGTGTGGACAGCAGCCAACGAGCTGTTCTCGCACGTAATTTCAAGCTGGAACAGGTAAGTTCAGTGACACTTTCTAAAAAAAAATGCTGCACGTGGTGTTCTGTGGGCTTGCAAGTTATTGTCCCCCAATAGGTTAATATGGGTAAATGTACCTCAGGGACTGTTGGCACACACAGGAATTTCCACTTGTTGCACAAATAATTTAGCAACAGTACTTAGATTGCTCCAACAGCTGTACATAGAAATCAAATTTGTCTTTTTTTTTTTTTTTTTTTTTTTTATAGAATTGTCATAGCTTATCTGCTATTTGCTGCTACCCCATCTCCTTGCATTCTGTTAAACTTTGGCTGCACAGTAAATAATTAGTTAACATTATAAAAACACGCAGGTGTTTTCATTTGTCTGATAAGACCACTCCTCTGGACTGTTTTTGTTTTTTGTTTTGTTTTTTGGGTTGTTTTTCATGTGTGGATGTGCATAAATGACATTTTTCAGAGTTTCTGGTTGTGTAGGCAAAACTACTCCCTTATTTTTCTTCGAACTTACATGAGTTTGTAGCCCTCACATCAGTCACAGTGAACATCCACCAACCTCTAAGTCTAACAAAGTAAATAAACACCCTTCGTGCTGCTGTATATTAATGTTGACATACTGGGTATAATGAGAGCCAACATAGTGGAGCCAGCCAACTTCCTGTTCATCCATTTCTACAAAAATTAGCTGAAGGTAGGGAAGCCAGTTTGGTCTGTGCGTGCATTTACCTAATGTCTGCTGATTGGTCTATTTAAAGATTTGCAACAAGACGTAGCCACTTGATAGCACCAGTTTCCACACATTAATTAAAAGCTAATAATCTTTAACTGTGTGTGTAAGAAATAGCTTGTTGTGTTTGTCTCTGTGATGATGCACACTCTCAGCCTGCTGCTGCTATTTCATGCTTGAAATTAAACATTAATTCTGGACTACAGTATTCCCGCGCCACATTATGGTTCACCTTTCGTGGACTCACTACATCACAGTCTGTAAATTTATGTCACGGAAATTTAGCAGAATTTCACTTACTGTGTAAATCAAGGGAATACTTTATTTCTGCACCTTGTGTGAAACGAGGTGGTTTAGGGGTGTGGGAGTTGTTGAGAAGTTTTGGGGAAAACCTATATATTATAGGTTCACTATTCTATCAGTCATGGCTGTATCTACTTACTGGACATGTGTTTTTGTGCATTTCTTTCATAAATTAATATTAGTGTCTGTTCCTTCTCCTCTTTCCTAAGGACCTGCCTTCGTTCACTCAAAGCGTTCAGCGGCTGGTGAACGATCTTCGCTACTACAGACTGTGCAACAGCAGCCTGCCCACTGGCACCATCAAGCTATAGCACGATGACTGTTTGAACCACTCCACATACCGACAGGACTGCCTGTGCTGACCACTTTCCCCAACACTCCTCCAATTCAGCTTTGCTCCACCTTTTCAAAGTAACAGGATGGAGCAACACACATTGTTTGGTTAGGTAATTGGAGGTTGAGGATGCTGCTGATGTTTTTATTTGATTTCTACTGTAGAAGGTTGGCACATTATTATTTTCAAGGCAGTGCCCTCCTTGTGAATTGCCAATGAGTTTGGTGAGAAATGTAAACCTGGTCTGCATTTGGCTTTTGCCCAGACCTGGAGCAGTCTGAGCCAGGCCTTCTTTCCCACGCCTCTGCAACAAAGCTGGGCTGGGACAGAGCACTTTCAACTCATTTTGAGTTTTGTTTTAGTTTTCTTTAATGTCTGCTTTTATTCATTTTGCCTTTTTAATCTCCAAAGGAGAGAGACTCTCAACTTAAGATCTTTCATATCATTCCATTCTGAAAAGAGAAAACCTGCTTGAATAATAAAGTGCTTTTTTAATAAAACCTTTGGCTGGTCTCTGTGCCCTCTGCTGGTCATCTTATAGTATTCATAATGAGAATTTTTTATTAGAGATTATGTTTTTCTTTACTTCACCACAGTCATCTATTGTATAATATGTTTTAGCCTTTTTATTTATTTTTTGTTTTGTTTATTTGTAATATGCAAAAAATGTTTCTTTTCTGATCCACTGGCAGAACATGTCTTAACTCTAAGAAAAAACCAACAGAAGCCTTGAAACATGACATCACATAAAATCAATCACATGACAAATATGTGCAGACTCATGTGTACAAGGTGGAAAAGAACAATGATGCATTTTCATAAATTATGAAAAGATGTCACAAACTCAAGCAGCAAAGACATGGCTCTAATGTTGTCTGGCTTTGTGTATCCTAAGCTTACATTAAATGTGACTGCTTAGCGGACTCTGTCAACTGCACTCAGTTTGATAAGAGAGGATTTTGATTACAAAATGTCACCTTGATACTGATTAGTACTGTGCAGTCTAGTCGGCGTCAAGTCTAGACTGCAAAAAAGGGGATGCTTAGGAAAATTTAAAGGGAGCAGCAGTTTATTGAAAAATCTGCAAATATAAATCCATATATAAGGGAATTTTAACAAAACTGAAGTCAATATGACCAACTTTATACGTCTGCACTGTCTGTATTGGCGTGGCTGTAGCTCAGGTGGCAGAGCAGGTCAGCTACTAACTGGAAGGTTGGTGGTTCTGCTCCAGTCAGGATACTAACCCCATGTTGCTCTCCGATGCATCCATCAGAGTGTGAAAGTGTCTGGATGTTAGATACGGAGCACTTAACACTTTAGAAAAAAAGTGATTGGGTGAATGAATTTGTTGTATAAAGCGCTTTAAGTCCTCAGAGTAGAAAAGCGCTATATAAGAACCAGTTCATTTACCATGAACTCTCTTAGTCACGCTGTCTTGTAATGTACCTAATTAGTCTTCAGGAATAGTTCTCTTCAGGCTTCTTGAAGCACGTTCAAAGCTCTTCTCAGGATGTTGGCTGGATTTTTTTCTGTCCTTTTTCAACATGATGCCACGCTGCTTCAGTGATGTTGCAGTCTGGGCTCTGGGGAGGCCGATCCATGTCTCATCTAAGTGCTCCCTTTTGTGTTTTTCTATCCAGGGATGATTTTGCTACGCTCCTTTGTGATCAATGTCATGCTGACTAATGAAGCTGTTGCCAGGTAGTATTTCATGCTGGATGATAATCTGACTACTTTTCTGCATTCATAATTTCCTCAACCCTTTCACCATTTTACAAATGACTAGACATCCGCTGTTGTACATTTATCCTGACCACCTCTATATAACTGAAAATGACTTGAACCAAAGTTTTCAAAATTGAGTTCATCACTCCATAAGACCTGCTGCCACTGAGATATGCTGTGACAGGAAAAAAAGTATGTTTCCCCTTCCTGATTTCGGTTTTTAAATCATGAGTTAACTTATTAATGGAAAAAAGTCATCCAAACCTACCTTCATGAATAATGAGTTAATTGTGATTAACCACATTTTTTCTTTTTATTTTTTTTGAAAGCTGAGTTCAGTTTCACTCACCACACCCAGGACAGATTACTGCCAGACCTGTTGGATCAAGAAATCACTTAACCAGAACCTGTCTGACAAAGTAAGATACGCTAAAAGACAAAGAAAAAGCAGCACATGACACCATTATCCCCAAATGGAGAAAATTTGAAACAGTGGTGAATGGTGAGTGCACTGACGACTCGTCCAGGTGTTCACATATAACCCAGAACAACATCTAGTTCATGATTCAACAATAAGAAAGAGTCCGGGCAAAAAAAGCCTCAACAGGAGTTCAAAGAAGAATACCACTGCTGACCAAAAAGAACTCAAAGGCTCATTTCACATTTACCAAAAACCATGTTAATGATCCCCAAGACTTCTGGGAAAATATTCTGTGGACTCAAGAAAAAAAACTGAACGTTTTAGAAGGTTTGAGTCCTGTTACATCTGCAAAAAACTAGCACAGCATTTCATAAAAAGAACATCATACCAGCAGTCAAACATGGTGGTGGTAGTGTGACCGTCTGAGTCTGCTTTGCTGCTTCAGACCTTGAGGACTTGCTGTAATTGAGTGAACTGTCTTTGTCGAATATTAAAATTGGTTTGATAAACTGAAATATGAAAGAGTGACAAATACTCAGAAAACTAAGAAACCAGAAAGGCGACAAATACTTTTTCATACAGTCCTGTATATCTAATTGTTAAGCTTGTATTTGATGCTGATCAAATCTTTATTTCAATGAAGTTCTAGTTACATCCACGGGTCATTTAAATATTTTTGTTGAAATACCACCTAACAGATGCAATTGTAAATTGCAGTAAGTGCCAGATCTTATTAAAGAAAATCACAGATTTGCAAATGTGAGTTGTGGAGGCTGAAGTACAGATTACTTTAAAACAACAAAAAAGATGCGTTTCGGAGGCTGAATGATCATAAAATGGCCATTTTAACATCTCTTTGCTTCTGCTTTGCGTCTCCTAAGTGTTTTGTTATTAGAAACACACATTTTCAACAAAAAAAAGAGCAAAGTGAAGAGCAGGATCAGCGTTCAGCTCTTAAAATGAGCTGGATTTCACCTGCAGAAAGGCGAAAATATCAACTAAATAAGATTTATGCGTGGAAGTGTTTCTTTTTAAATCCATCGGGTTGAAAGCGAGGGGAGATTTTGAGTGACGCACGTGTGTACGGAGAACTAACACAGGTCTGGCATCACTGGAGTTAAATTTCAGATTGAGTGACAATGAGGAGAGACGCACGGAGGGATCACTCGTGAGTTTTTATTGATGAGGGTTGACTTCACTCAGTAGAGGCTGATAAAACGCACGTCACATTACGGCCATGATGCAGCTGCGCGTTTTTAACAGACTTCTCCAACACTTTTATTGGAGGACTCAAGAATCCACTAAAGGTCTGTTACCTGGTTTTCCTTCTCCGCTGTGGGGTGGATACAGATCTACCTGGCGAAGAAACAAATCAAGTAAGTGACTCATTTTCTACCAGCTGCTAAGTAAAGCTATATGTTTTGCATAGTAGATTAGTATTAGTCCTTCAGATAGAAATACGCGATTCGTTTGTTAAGAAGTGGCGATTTAAAGCAGTTGAATGCAAATTTTGTGTTTTTAAGTGAACGTTCATGAATTACGAATTAAAATGTGCACAGTATCTTGAATACGCGATTTTTACACAGTGAAAATGACACTGTCAAACTGTCACTGTCGAAACCGATTTTAAAAGATTTCTGTTAGCACCGAGTCTAACAAACTTTAGCCTGTTAGACTCGGTCCAAGGCGCAAAGTCCAAGGCGCAAAGTTTATTTGACCCAAACTTAACGGACACATTTAGGAAAACAAACTTGCTTGCCAAAAGCTCGGGTCATGAACTGGAAGTAGGTTAGGGGTACAAAAGTTAAACGGTGCGCAATACCGACACACAAAACGCAAATCCCATACAACACACCCAAACCTCTGTGTCAGAACCAGACTTCCATCCAGCCCGCTATGGTGTCGCTGTATTTCGCTGTCACAGCCGGTCTTAAAGATGCAAGGAGACTGCAGTTCTCGTGGATAGTCACGTGTGAATAATTGATAGCGTGCAGTCATTCATAAGGGGCTGTGTGCAGCTTCTATTCTGTGTGTTCTGTAGCTAAACAAAAGCCATACATCTTATATGCAGTTTTGCTCAGTGAGGGTTGTTGGTCTGTTTTAGGGGTGCAAACTCGCATGCGCGCGTTAGTTTATTGTGTTGTGGGGACGTTGTATCCCACACACAAATGCAATTATGTGCGTGCGTGTGTGTTGATATGATAAATGTTGATATGATAAATACCACACATTTATAAACTGAGACACCTGCAGACTTTAGTTTGGTATTTTTTATAGTCTTCCCTGCAGTATGGTTAACAACCATTGCTCCTCTTTTGTGTTTGCTCACATCAGGTCTTCCAGATGTGAGGGAGAGGACTCTCATAGCCGTGAAACCAGATGGAGTTCAGCGCCGTCTTGTCGGGCAAATAATTCACCGGTTTGAGCAGCGGGGATTCAAGCTGGTTGGCCTGAAGATGGTGCAGGTATAAGAGTTTGAAGTGTGTGTGTGTGTGTGTGTGTGTGTGTGTGTGTGTGTGTGTGTCCGTGATCTGCAAGTTTCTTGTTGAATCTGTCTCTGTTTGAAAGGTGTCTGAGGATCTCCTGTCTCAGCACTACCGTGAGCTGAGAGCTAAGCCCTTCTATCCTAGTCTGCAGCATTACATGACCTCAGGGCCTGTGGTGGTCATGGTGAGTGCTCCTCTGTCTGCCTCTTTCGAGGATACTCCTGGTTTTCTCCTTGTTACTTTTCTGCTTATTCTTGTTATAGTTCTTCAGTAGGTTTATCAGTCTTGCCAACACATGCTGCTTTACTTTTATTTAGGTATGGGAGGGGCCCAATGTAGTCCAGACATCACGTAAAATGGTAGGACACACTAACCCAACTGAAGCCCAGGCGGGCACAGTCAGAGGAGATTTCAGCGTCCATGTCAGCAGGTAACCTGACTTTATTTCATTTCATTGTGTGTGCTGATATTTGTGACATAAAACAGATTTTTAACATTAAAGCCTATGAAGCTATGTGCTTTTATGACGTGGCAGTACAGTAACCATGTGTGTTGGTCACTTAAAGGAACGTTGTCCATGCCAGTGATTCACTGGAGGGTGCTCAACGGGAGATCCAGCTGTGGTTTCAGGGAAAGGATCTCCTGAACTGGGAATGCTGCAACCAGGGCAACATGATGGAGGACTGAAGATGCTTGACAGTTCAAGGCAGTGAGAATCAGTAATAACTACCTCTTCTCCTGCTGCCTCCTGACAGTGCCACCACAGTTTCTCTCTCTAAGTAATTTACCTCATTAAGTGCACTAAGAATCAAAAGATTTTTGCTAAAGCAAATGTGAGATTTTAGAATACCAACTACGCATATGT